TAATATGTATTCATGAATTTTATATAATGATAGGTAAATCAGATATTTTCCCTTCATTTGATGATAATTTTGAAAAATTTTCCCAATTAATATATACATATATTAGACAGATTTAATTTTTATAAACCCCTTACTATTTTTCAGGATCCAAGGAAAAAATTAATTATTCTGAGTTTTCCTGGGCATGGTAAATATTTTTCACAATTAATTTGGACTTGGACATAGCTTGCTAAACATTTTTCAAATAATTTTTAATTTTAAATATGGGGTAAAAATTGGCCTGAAAATTTTTGAAGACATAGCCAGGCCTGATCACAAACCAAGGCCCATGCAACTTTCATATTCTGATTGTATTTTTAAATGCATTGTGACTTTTTATATATTTTATTTCAGTTCTCAACAAAATTATTAAGGTCTTTGGCAGGTTTGAGAAAATTTTCCCAAGTGTGTGGATCTGGCTTGGGAATTTTTTTAATATTAGGCATAGGTGTAATATTTAACACAATTTATATGGCCCTCATGTTTTAAAAAAATCCCTAAAATTTTCACAAATTAATAATAACATTTTGCATCAATATATTCTTTTAACAATATTTTTTGACATATAGTAGATCCTTATTTTCCAGCACCTTTTAATGTTACGATCTGAGTTATTGTAATATATTTATTGTATGGTTTAAGAGAAAATTGTTAGATATTCCAAAAGAAATTGCAGAAAAAATATTACTTTTTTGGAAGTAAGATGTTATTGTCTTTTTTTGCAACTGGGTTTCAACTCCATTTGTGATATTATATGGAATATCACAATTTAAGGATACCCAATTATTATTATCTCTTTTGATGGCTACCTTTGTAAATTTCATATCAGCTGGCTTGACATGAGGATGTTTATGTTTATAATGTTCATGTATCTTGTCACTTCTTATTTTAGAAGTTTTACAATTAATGTAATCGCACTTCACCTTAAATAAGGTTCTGTTACTTGGCATCTAGAAAGAAATAATTATTATAATATAATTTTTTACATATTATGTTTTTTATTATTCTTTGCTTGCTGATATATATTTTTGAGCATGACTCAAAAAATTACCTAAATTAATCTATAAATTTATTAAAAAACATAATATAAATATATAAACCTCTAAGAAAAGTACCAAATAGGAAAGGTGTAAATATTAACTTGATAAAATGGTAAATGAAAATGGTTGACAAATAAAGTTTATATTATTTATTAATTGACAAATATCTTTACTTTAATTGACATTTGTCAGAAAATCAACGGTAACCATCATAATCGTATCAATTAATGGATTTAAAAAGATTATAATTCAAATCAAAAATTACTTCCCAAAAATCAATACTTACTACCAAAAAAATAATGCCTACCCTCCAAAAATCAATATGAACCCCCATAAAATGCCAATATATTTTAGAGGCATTTGTCTCCTACCCCCCCCTCCCCCCCTTCGGTCATGTAGACGCTGAATCAAATTATAGAAATAAATTTAAAAAAATTCAATTTTATATATTAACCTGCCATATATAATCATAATTAGTAACAAAAAAAAATATGTAATTACACAGGTGGGGAATATTTTACCCCAAGTTCGACAAATAACATATATCTCAAAAACTGTCAAATCAATAATCATGAAATTTGGAAGTTGTATTCCTTGTTACAAATATTAAACTACTGTAAAAACCAGGTCAGAATATCTACTAGGTTTTGTATTACAAAGATTGTTGTATTTACCCCACCTGTGTAGTGAAGGGTTAAAAAAATTACTATTGTTCTGAAGGTTTAATTGATTTATGTTTCTTAAGTTGTTTTAAATATTTTTTCTTTCAGCTGCTAATGTATCATTGATCTGGAATTTCAGGAAGGATGGTAAACTTAGATTTTATATAATTTTAAATATATTCAAAGATTAATTTGAAAATCTTGATGGAGAAGGAGGTGGTGATGGACAAAGCCAATCCTCAACTAGTTCTAGATCTACATCTATCCAATCAATATCTGATCAAGCTGAACCCGTTAATGCAAGGCGGAAAAATTCCTTAATATGGAATCATCATCTTTATGATTCCAAAGCAGAAACTGTTAAATGTAAAATCTGCAAAGTAGAAATAATGTGTAAGAAAAAAACCACCTCTGCACTAATTAATCATAATAAAAGATTTCATCAAAAGATTCAAAATAATAATACAATAGTGTTGAATATGTTGATCGATGTTATTTTATTATTTATTTTGGCAATTGATTTATTTTATATTATATCAATTTGTATTTAAATTTAATCGGTGAAAATTTTATATTAACATTTTTTTTATACATCAATTTATATTAGTTATTTTTTTTTATTATTGTTTAAAAAAAAGATATATAAAGAGATAAAAAAAAATGTAATTTATTTTGGAAAATAAAAATGTAATTTATCATATAATAAAATTTAAATTATGATTAAAAATAAAATGATAATCAATGAAATATGTGATATAATTATCTAACTATAATAAAACGTGGAAATAATAATCTTGAATATGTTGATCGATGTTATTTTTTTATTTATTTTGGCAATTGATTTATTTTATATCGTATCAATTTGTATTTAAATTTAATCGGCCAAAATTTTATATTAACATTTTTAAAATAAATAATAAAATAACATCGATCAACATATTCAACAATAGAAAACTATAAAAATGATTTAACCAAAACAAATATTGATGACATTAAACATTATTTATTAAAATTTTGCTCAAGTCGAATATATCATTTAAAATTCTTGCCACAAATGTTAAATCATTTGTTAGAGCTTTAAATCCTAACGTAAAAATTTGTTCAACACCCACAATTAAAATGTATATGAGTGAAATTTATAATGAAGAATTCAATAAAGTTAAAATAATTATAAATAATTTAAAGTGCCAAATCAACTTTACCACCGACATATGGTCAAGCCCTACTAATGTACCATTTTTAGGGCCACTTTATAGATGAAAAATGGGAGATGAAGTCATTGTTATTAGATATAGTACCATTTACTAATTCACATTCTGGTGAAAATATATATGGAGAATTTTCTCAAATTATAAAAAATTATAATATAGATAGTAGTAACATGGCAATTACTTGTGATAATGCAAGCTCGAATTCAACCTTTATAAAATTTCTTCGTATAAAACACCCAACTTGTAAAATTTTACATATACGATGTTTTGCACATGTACTTAATTTGGTAGTACAAGAAATACTTAAGAAAGTAGACAGTCAATTAACAAAATTAAGAAAACTCATTAAAGCTATACGTAATTCTTTTATAAAAACAAATATTCTGAAAAATGTATGCGCTTCCTTACTTCCCCCGATGAATTATCTTCAATTAAAATTAGACACATCCATCATATGGAATAGCTCCGTCGAAAGAGCTATCAAAATGAGAAGGGCCATTGATGAAGTTGTGACTCAGATATATGATGATATATCTGATATAGAAGAAAGACAACTGAGTGAAATATTTTAATTATTTACTAATTTTTATTTTTTACCAGGATGATTGGATGTCTTTGATAAATATACAAGAAAAATTAAAGAATTTTTTTGATTTTACTGAAGATATCTGTGGTGACACATATCCCACTTTAAATATTGTGATCCCATTTTATGTTTCGTTAATCGAACATTTAAACTCATTTGACCACACTTTTATAAACACCTTCAATGCGATTGAGAAAATAGAAAACTATTACAACTTAACATATATTGAAACAATAATATCAACGATATTAGATGCAAGACTAAAATTAAAATTTTCAATTACCAACATTATATAAAATAGATACAATAAATCTATTACAAAAATTCAAGGATGGATACAATGAATACAAAGTGAAATACAATATAAATACAACATCAGATAACGCAATAATACAGTCAAATATGGATAGAATCTTTAAACAAAATATCATCTTACCAATATGCGAGGTTGAAATTTATCTTAATGAATTATGAATTACTTCTAATAAGATCCCCCTAGAATGGTGGAGATTGCATGGGGATCGTTTTCCCGTGTTATCGAAAATGGCAATTGATATATTGTCCATTCAAGGATCTTCAGCTTCATGTGAGCGGTTATTTTCAGTGGGGACAAATATGATAACGAAAAATAGAATGTCTTTGAAGGAAGAAACCATAAGAAAGACTTTATGCTTAAAACTGGTTATTATCAAATTCAGATCTATCATAATTGTATTTTTTATGTATTATATTTTGATGTTTATAAAAGAAAATTTTAATATTTGGAATATTAGATTGAAGCGAATCGAATATTTGTGCTATTCGTATTCGTACGAATCGAATAATTTATTATTCGTATTTGTACGAATAATAAAATCATTATTCAATTCGATTCGAAAATTATTCTAAAGCTTATAAAAAATAGATTATATTTTGCAAAAAGTAATTATAAACAGATGTGGATGTTTTGAAATGACACTTTAACTAAAAAAAAAACTAAACTAATTGTCATTAGCTTATCAAAATTTACAGAAAATAAGCGAAATAAAACCTAATAATTTTATAAACGTTTTCCAAACAAGTTAGCCAAAATCACCTAATTTTTAGGATTCGAATTGCTTATAAAAATATCTAAATTCTTTTAGAGAAAAAAAATTAAGTAAAATGAAATGAAATTCACTAGGAAAATTTAATTTTATTTATTATTTACTTACGATTTACGAATATTAACGAAAAAATAAAATATTTACGAAAAATTAATGAATACTAACGAATATTTATAAATAATTTTGAATAATACGAATAATTTCGAATAATACTAATATTTACGAATAATATGAATAATTACGAATAACACGAATAATTTCGAATCGAATAATAAAGATTCTAAATATTCATATTCGATTCGAATTTTCGAATCGAATAGAATCGAATCAAATCGAATTTCGAATAACAAATAATTCATTTTAGGCGTATATCTGACCTTAGAAGTCTCTGTATAGTTTTCCATAAATCCTTATCTTTATGGCTTTTGGTTTTTTAGTTCCGCTATTTAGGATTCTGTAGCCAGGGATATCCATTCCTTAGGAGGAGGGCCTCTAACTTTGGTAAAATCTTTACAGTTGAGTAATAAGATGTGTTTGAAATCACTCCAGAAATTTTCCAAAGTTGAATTCCGACTAGTTTGCAAGAAACGATTTATCACTAAAGAAAGCTTAGTCGAAATTACATCTTTGACTATCGGACATTTTAAATTATTATTTTTCTTGAAAACTTAGTTGGCAAGGAACTTCCCTTCTAGATGCAAATAGAGTATTTTTGTTTCTCCACAATTCACTATTAATCATTAAATGTCTTACACCCATTTTGTGGTCAGAAATATTGACTGTGGTAATCACTTTCACATCAAAAAACAAGTTGTGAATGTTTGACAAAATGAAATCAATTTGTGAAGTATATTTTTATCTATAAAAAGAAAAAATATGAAATATTTTCTACTTTAAAGCTCTTACTTTTACATAGTTCTAATAAAGAAAGGCTGTCACAGCCATTTTGGCTTGATAATGTAGCATTACCGATAGTATTGTTTGTTAAAATTCTATTCTGCCGATTTTAGTATTGAAATCACCAAGGATAATCAGGTTGTATCTCTTGGGTAGAGAATCGATAGTGTTTATTAACTCATTAAAAAAAAGAATTATTTCTCTTAGGGTTGGGGGCGCATAAATATTTAGGCTAATAGTAGGTTTGAAGGCTGTATTAATGTATAGGGCGGCCATTCTTTCCGAGATAGGGATAAATTTTCTGATATATTGGTAAAGATTATTTTTAATTAAAAATGCAACGCTGGACCATTTATTATAGTAGTTCCAGAGCTCAGCAATGTAAAATCTTTGAAGACAGCTTTTAAATCGTTAAACATCATTTTTTTATTGATTGGCCTTTTTAATCCAATTTCTCATTATGATTATACCATCCTTTCAACCTGTTTATTAGAGCTAGGATAATATGCAAAAATGTTTAAAGTTTTTACTTATAAAAGCTTATCTCTATTCGAATGGTTTTTGGAATCCAAATTTGGCCCACAATTTTTTTAATATTTTGATGACAATCTAACCCATTCACATGAATAAGTTAAATATATAAAAATTAATTAAATGAATGCGCGTTACATAAAATTTAAACATAATACTATTTAATAACCAAAATATATAATATTTTAATTTATTAATTCCATTATATAACATTTATAAAAATTAATAAATTTTACTTTGATTGAATATAAATACTTACGCTAAAATTAATACGAGATAAATGTTTATTTTTCAATTAACTAAATATAATTTAATTTGCTATTTTAAATTTAATAATATTCATTCTAAAAAAAAACTATTTAATATTTGTTGATTTCTGCAATATATTAATTATTATACTTTATAGAAATCAATTTACAAATAAAAAGCGATTATTTAAAATATAAATATTATTCATTATAATAATAAGATATTATTACATTATTAGTAAAATAATTTAATAAAATAAAATAACATAGATTAATTATACATTAATATAAATTTAGCGCTAACATTATAATAATATGCAACAAAATGGCCAAAGTCTATGCTATGCATAGGATGTTCAATTACGGCGTTTCGGATATTGAAAAAATAAAGCTGAGATAATTGTATTTTACTATGTTTATGGTTAATCGTTGGCGTAGGTAGAATCCCTCTAATGAATCTGCCTTTACAGCGCTTGCAGTGTAGAGAGTGACGGCCTTTGGAGTTGACCGACGTTTGACAGAGGATACAGTTATAAGGTATTACCATATCGCAATTCAGTCTAAGACCGATGGCGTGACGTAACTCATCATTGCTTAGGAGCTGGTCAAGGTTTCGGGATGGGAAGGCTTCAATAAATTTGTATCCACTACCTTCGGAAATGGAGAAGAGTAGAGAATGGTCCTTTGGTTGGCTCCTCGATTTAAGGAATGCAACGGAGTTGCCAACTAGAGGTTTATCCCAATCCTTCTGTAATGCCGACGATGGAGGATCGACTAATGAGAGGGACTTCCATAGATAAATTGCCTGTTGGAGTAAGTGGTCAGGATGTTGTGTTAGCGTTTGAATGAGCGAGAGGATATGAACGCACTAACAGAAAGTAGGGAAGGTGACCTGATACCAATACCGCCGGATTTGGTTGGTAAGGTAGCCTGTAGCCATGATAACTCCCCAAATTTAAGATTGAGTATATCTTCTGTTAGGCGTTTAATCTCCAGTTCATGTGAAGTGAGGTTGACATCATATTGAAAGATCCGAGACGCTCGAAGTGTATATAAAATTCTTGGAATTAAAAGGTAGTTCTTTAATAAGAAGAAAGCTTGGTCAGCTGGGAGGCGAGATAGTGTATCTCGCATAAGGGATATCTCTCGTAGGATATCGGCAAAGAACTTGGTAAAGGACTCGTCTTTACCTACTGGAAATCCAAGATGTGTTAAAACGTTCAATGGTGTATGATTGAACATAGTATCGTGGTTAAGGTCAATGATTCCAAGAGGACAATATTCGCTTTTGTCTTGATTAACTCGAAGTCCCAAACTTTTCTCGCTGGATTTTATTATTTGGATTGCCTTCGTGACTTCAGTCGATGGGCCGCCTAGTATGCCATCGTCGATATACCAGTTATGGAGATTTAGGTTGCATTGGTCATTAATTTCTCGTATTAGATTATTAATGCCCAGACAGAACAAAAAGGAACCTAGAGGGTCACTTTGTTGTATACCTTCGTTAGAAGGAATCAATCTATCTCCGAATTGAAGATGTGAGGGATTAGCATAACAATCGAAGATAAATTGTGAGTATTCTGGGTAGAGGGTGAGAATAGGATTTAGAAAAGCTCCACACCTTAGAGAGTTAAAGACGTTCGAGAAGTCTATTTTGACTAGGATATCGTTGGTGGGATCCGTTTGTAGGTACATCCGGGTCATGTGAAGGGATACCTCACATCCACCTTTTACGTTGACTCCTAATTGATTCGGGCAAAGGTGATTGGATATTGTGAACAATAATCTGCTAATTACAAGTTTGGCAGTTAATCGGCGCCAAATGGTTCCAATAGCGATTGGGCGAATCTTTATTGGGTTTATGGAGAGCGATGAGTTTAGCTCCATCTAGCAGTGGAATAATGGCCGGTGGTATGCCTCCAGTAAGCATACGGTTGACTAATTGGGTAATTTTTTCTAGAACGTCACATTGTTGTGTTATGTAAGGTGCGGTTAGGTCTTGTAAGAATATTGAGCGAAACCCATCGAACCCAGGTGAGGAATCGCGTTTGAAGGCGAGAATAGCCTTTCTAACGTCGCTTGCGGTATAAGTGGCCGCAATTAGAGGAGTTTCAGGGTAAGTCGGTATTTCGTTTTTAAAATTGTGTGATTGGTGTTTTAGGAGAAGGGCCTGATAAGTTACTAAGTCATAGGCCAGTTTATTGTCGGAGGTTGCCAGACGTATGGCGGATTTAACATTTAGGTTATCCAATTTTTTAGATATTACCCTGGTCTTGGTGAGCAGGTCATTTTTGTGATTTCTATTTTTATCTGTGTCGTCACTAGTAAAAGATGTGGTAATGTGATTGATGGGTAAGGGGTAGATAGTAGCATCCTTAATTTGTTGGGTCAGGGATTTTTAGCTGGTAGGATCAGGAACTTGTAAGGTAGTAAAGGCAAATGACAGGGTGTCTAGCCAGTGTCTTACAGAAGAATAACAAGGAAGTCAAGTTTTTTGACAGGTGTCTCGCAACTTGAAGCCTTGCTCCTTTAGGTATTCGTGAAATTACAAATGGTTTTGGTGTCGTTAGAAATATTTCTACATTTGAGTCGGCTGTGTCCAACGTCGAAGAATTTGTGATAGTGAAGGTAGGGATTATTGGGTAAGTGAGTACATCAGTCAATGATGTGGGAATGGTGACTAAGGGTTGTTTAGTTGTGAGAGCAAGGGCAGAGAAGGCATTAAGGGTTCTAGGAATTGCTGGTGATAAGATGGGTAGCCCAGATTGAGGACACTTTATTTTATGGTTACTATGAGATGGCAATAGCCCCAATTTGGTTACCTTAATAAGTTTATTGCATAATGGGCAGTTGCATTTGGTAGGTGCTGTGCTGAGGTCTGGTAGACTCATGGATTAGGAATTTTTTTCATATTTAAGGTGAAGGTGAATATCATTGTTAAAAATCACAGATGTGTTTATGGATAAATCTATGTATTGTTTAATAAATTTAAAATTTGCTTTCTGGAATGATTTTATAATTTTCATTGTTCATCTTTAAATCAGTTTACTATATGTGATCATGATATGTAAGTGTTGATTGTAAAGATGGTTTTACAATGGGGTAATTTATCTATATCATTAGTAATGGCATTATTGTGTTGGGGAATTGAGATGAAGAGGGAGAAATACTAATGGTGAGTGGAACCAGAGTGTGTATACTTGAACACTAAGATGCAATAGAGTGGTATAATATGCTTCAAGGAGGGAAAACCTTTAAGGTTAAAATTCACGAATATGTTTATGGCAAAATTTATATATAGTTCTGTAAATTAAAGTTCAAAATTCATAAAAGTAGGATATGATGAAATTTTTGCTGACAAATGCCATTAATTATATAATACATTTACTGATAAATTTAAATTTTTCTATCTGGAATATTTCTATAATTTTTATTTTCTATCTTCAAATCAGTTTATTATATGTGATCATGATATAAAAGCTTTGATTGCAAAAAAAAAAGGTTTCATAAAGGGGTAATTGATCTATATCATTAGTGATATTATTGTATTGTGGGAATTATGATGAAGAAGGAGAAATGCTGATGGTGAGTGGAATTAGAGTGTGTATACTAAATATATAATAATGAGATTTTTATTGCATCTCATCTTCAGGTTTGTATAGTTAAACTGGTTGCAACAGAATTTTACCTTTAAATATGTGGCCTTCTCTTTAAAGTCATAATTTTATAACTCCTTCTTGTGTTGTTAAATATATAGTGTGATTGTATTAAGCATATCATGAGATAAGATTTCTATCAGGTGAAGTATTCAGTTAATATATTGCTTACATTATAACTAAAAATAATATTATATTTTTAAGCAATATTTCTTTCTTTGAGAGTCTTATTATTGACATGTTCTGGTTTATAAATCTAAATTGGTACT